GTGGCTTCCCGCCCAGCTCACTGATGTCACCGGTTGCCAGGAGCTGAGCGGGATACTCTGGCTTGCGTCCCGCTGAGCTCCTGGCAACCAGTGGCGTCCGTGAGCTGGGCGGAACACTGGACAAAACTGGTCCATACAATAACAAGTATAATAGTTAACACAATCTAATTGCGTTTGATTTGACAACACTGAAACAATGAATGTTACATTTGCTCTGCGAAAGACAAGTTAAATATAAGAAAACAACATTCCTCCCATCGTAGAAACATTCACAAGGGTATTATTCACGACTTTTGTGCAAATACTGATAGTCCCACATCAATTTTGTTTTATAAATGGACTTCGTTTGCACAGTGCATCAAAACCAATTCTGAACTCATTTCCAACACCAATTACCATTTGAGGCATCCATGTGAGCACGGGATTGCCACGTTTGGAATGCGTCACCAGTAAGTCAGCTGGCCTGTAAAGACTATCATGAAGGCCTATGATGTGCAGGTCAACCCGGTCACCCTACCCAATGATCACAATCGCATGGACTGACTGGAAAATGCAGACCAGATCAATAAATTAATAGGTGTTGCAACCTCCTAGCCTCTCTGAAGTGCTCTAATGGAAAACACAAGTTCCCGCTTCGACTTTTTTAGCTATTTTCTTGACAATTGTGCCTGACATCTATTTAACTCTGATGGTCTCCGAAATGATAGGCTGCGAAATCCTTCTCCGACGCTCCGCTCGGGGGAATTGCCGGCTCTCTCTTACACAGCAAAGCAAATGTTCCTTTTCTCCGGGAGAATGTTTCCATCCAGTCTGCCGGCCGTTGGAAACAAGCGATTCCATATGCAGTATTCCGTCCTACATGCCCAGCCGTCCTTGCAGATTGAGCCATCAAGAATGCAGTGTGTGAGGACCTATTTAGGTTTTGCCTCATGATGCCCATATTTATCATATTTTTTTGGACAAGGATACTCTTCTAGGTGCTGGATAGCTTGCAGGGGCCCCCAGTGCCAAAACACAGATGAGGGTATCCTATTGCAGCTTTTCTCAACTTTCATTCATGGCACCCTTTTAGGTATACAAAATCTCGAGGCATCCCATTCTAAAATGTAAATGTAAAAAAACAACACGTGGTCTGCCCCAAAATCCATACTAGACCCTTATCCAGGATCGTAACTACAGATCATAGCAACATTTTGATGGGGCTTCCCGACAACCCCTTAGAAACTAAATTAAGGACAGTTAGAAGGAGAGCTGTCTGCATAGCCTCCTCCTGTACATCTGATGTAAGCTGTTCTGGATTGCAAATGTCATATCATAGGGGTGGGTACACGGTACAAAAAACATTTGGAGTCTTTAATGGGGCCCCCTTCCATTCCCAGGCCCCATAGCAGCTGCATGGGCTGCTATGGCTATTGTTACCCCACTGGCCTTATCCTAGATAGGGGTCTGGTTTGAATTTTAAGGGGCCTGTCTGCACCATGAAAACCCATGACCCTGCGCAAAAAATTGATGAAGCCAGGCAAAACCCCAGAGTGCCATGGCACCCCGGTTGGCAAAAGCCGGCGTATTGTCACAATCACCAAAAAGCTGCAAGCTAATACTAATTGTTACCAACTGTAATTTTGATCATAATGACTGACCACCCTAGACCAGCCCTTCCCAACCGGGGTGACTCCTGACTTCCTCAGGGGTGCCTCAAAATTTTTGCACAGCAGGATGCATTTCTGTGGTGCAGACAGGCTTCTGATATAAGAAGGGGGAGTTTTGATGTGAAAGAAGGGGCTCTGATGTGAATGGGTCCTCCTAGTTTGAGGGGGCCACGCTGATGTGAAAGGAGGGGTCTCCTAATGTAAAGGGGTGCATCTGACCTAAAGGGGTATTCTGATGTGAAAGAAGGGGGCTCTCATGTGAATGGGTCCTCCTAGTTTGAGGGGGCCACGCTGATGTGAAAGGAGGGGTCTCCTAATGTAAAGGGGTGCATCTGACCTAAAGGGGTATTCTGATGTGAAAGAAGGGGGCTCTCATGTGAATGGGTCCTCCTAGTTTGAGGGGGCCACGCTGATGTGAAAGGAGGGGTCTCCTAATGTAAAGGGGTGCACCTGATCTAAAGGGGTATTCTGATGGGAAAGAAGGGGGCTCTCATGTGAATAAGTCCTCCTAGTGTGAAAGAGGGCACTTTTATGTGAAAGGAGAGGTCTTCTAATGTAAAGGGGTGCACCTGATGTAAAGGGGGTTTCTGATGTGAAAGAAGGGGGCTCTGATGTAAATGGGGCTCCTATTTGGTGACAGAAACTTGTAATAACCTTAATCTGCCCATTCATTTGATAAATCTGTTAAATGTAATCTGAAATGAGAACCAATGAGAATGCAGCATTGTTATTACATTGTATCTTTTTCTATCTTCTAGAATCGGTGGATGACTGTCCCAGTAACTGCTATGGGAATGGTGAATGCATATCTGGAAGCTGCCGCTGTTTTTTAGGCTTTCTTGGGCCAGACTGTGGACGAGGTAAGGAAACATTATCTTCAGTTAGTTCTCAGGGGATTATGGGATAAGCCCACCTGAAAAATGGCCTGTGGGTGGCCAAAAATGACTACAAGCAAGGCTCCTGATTTTAAGCATTGCTGGCAGTTTCCAGGCCATTTCTGACGACACAGACTGCAATGACAAGCACCTGTTGGTCACAGGCTCTCCAACAAGAGCCTGTTGTGGCGCAGGCCCTCTAAAAAGTGCGTGCTGTGGTGGGTATAAGGAAAAGCAGCACAAGGAGTCAGTTGTGCTAAAAGGCAATGAGCATGCTGATAGTTGGACAGAGCAGGGTGACAGAGATGAGATGAGAATGCCAGTCTGCTGCTTCTCCTTTCATTGCCCGGTTACAGGTTGGGGGAGGGACAAGACCTGTAAGCAGGCCCGGATTCCCCACAAGGCCACCTAGGCCCGGCCTTGGGGGGGCAGGCGCGGAGGGGGGCGGCAGCGGTGTCCTTGTGGGGAAGTTCCGGGTGCCGGGCAGTAAGTTGCCCTCTCTACATTTAGTGCTGCTTTGGACAAGCAGGACTAAATGTAGAGTGAGGGAAGCCGAATGTTCGTTTACACGTGATCTCGGCGATCGCCGGGATCACATTTAAAAAGTCTGCAGCCGGCCGGTCCGTCCTCCCCTCCCCCCTACACTTACCTCTCTCCTCGCTGGCTCCGTCCTCTGAGCTCCGCAGCCGAGTCTCTCCTCACTGCAGGGAGCAGAGCGGCAGGGTTATAAGCAACCCTGCCGCTCCGTGTAGACAGTGAGAGGGGAGAGCTGTGCTAGAACTCCTGTATTGGAGGTGACAGGGTCAATAAAGAGAACCTGTCACCTCCAATTGCTATCACACAGGGGATTGTTTTCTCCTGTGTGATAGCAATAAAGTTAGGTGAAAAAAAAAACATTTTTATTGATTACAAAAAAATGTAAATACATTTTTTTAAAAATGAAATAATTAAATAAAAAAATATTTTGGCGGGGGGAGGCATATTGCGGAACCTGGCCTTGGGGCGGCAGGGAGAGTAAATCTGGCCCTGCCTGTAAGTGTTATTTAAATGCAGTAGAGAAAAATCACGTCTGTTCTACAAGACAGAGCTGTTCTGTGTGGCAGAGCTGTGTAATTCTTAGAGCTGGGTGGACAGAAATTCAAACCCTATGGCAGGTAACACGTCTTGTAGATGTGTTCTCTCTGTGTGTTTAGCTGTTTGCCTGCTTTAAGGTGAAAGTCGGCATGTTTGGTCACTAAACCATCTGCTTAGCATTCACATGGATCCATCACTCTGAATGTCCCAGCTATGGGCATCCTGTGCTTCAGCTCCCTGGGGGCTTTTGCTATCACCATGGCATGGGACATATCATACTGCAATGATGTCACATTGGGGAATTTGGTTTTAAAGTTTTGTGAATGTTGGTCCCGACACAAAACACTTGCCGTCTCTCCATGCGTATAGGTAACATGTTCTCTTAAAAGCCGAATCCATAGAAAGTAGAAATCTGTGAAATGCCGAGATCCTTAAAATGCATATTTTAATGTGACTTCTATACTTTATATGCTGCATAAGCGTCCCTTTAATTTAAGAAAGGGGGAAAAAATTGAAGTGATGCATAATAATGGCATGGAGTAATTTTATCCTGATTCGCAATGCTATTTTCCCCGCCAGAGGGCTCGGAGCAAAACGTTACCATTTGAATTATTGAAGTGATTTGTGCCGTGGAATAATTCAGCCCTTGATTCATTGTCCCAGCAAGAGAGGGTGAGCCAGAGTGGAGGGCGAGAAATGATTTTCCTGCTGAAATTAACTTTCCCTCCTGCTCTTCCTGCCAGCGTCCTGCCCGGTATTGTGCAGCGGAAATGGCCAGTACATGAAAGGAAGGTGCCTGTGCCATAGCGGGTGGAAAGGAGCCGAGTGTGATGTGCCCACCAGCCAGTGCATTGATGTCACCTGTAGTAACCATGGCACCTGCATCATGGGGACCTGTATCTGCAACCCGGGGTACAAAGGAGAGAATTGTGAAGAAGGTAAAATAGATGGTAGTGGTTACTCATAGACAACCCCGGGACATGATGATGTCTGCTTTATTTCTGAATCTTTTCTGTCTCTTTCTGCTTCTCTTCTTTCCCAGTCTTTTTCTTTTGGTGTCTCTGTCTCTCTCTCACCCTCCTCCTCGCTCTCTCCATCCTGCTCGCGCTCTCTCTCTCCATCCTGCTCGCGCTCTCTCTCTCCATCCTGCTCTCGCTCTCTCTCTCCATCCTGCTCTCGCTCTCTCTCTCCATCCTGCTCTCTCTCTCCATCCTGCTCTCTCTCTCTCCATCCATCCCGCGCTCTCCATCCATCTCTCTCTTCATCTCTATTTCTTTCTCTATCCCTCTCTCTCTCTCTCTCTCTCTCTCGCTTCATCTCTCCCACTATCGATCCCGCTCTCTCTCTCCATCTCTCTCTACCTCCCTCTCTCTACCTCCCTCTCTCTGTGTCCTCTCTATCTCCTCTCTCCATCTTTCTTTCAAGTCTCTCCATCTCTCTGCCCTCCCCCCTTCTCTCTCTGTCCCCTCCATCTTTCTTTCAGTCCCACTCTCTCTCTCTCTCTCTCTCTCTCTCTCTCTCTCTCTCTCTCTCTCTCTCCTTTCTGCCTCTTTCTCCCTTTGTCCTCTCTTCATCTCTCCCCTTCTGTCTTCCAACCATCTCTTTTTTTTTTCAACCCGTCCCTTTCGTCCTCTTTCTACCCTTTCAATATTTCCTTGTCCTCCTCTCCCCCCTTTTCTGCTACCACTAAATTCTGATTGGTTGCTAAATGTTACGACTCTCTGTACCGTACCCATGAAACAGAAGCCTTTCAGTGAAGTAGTGTAAAAAGTCATAGTAATGTCCAAGAATCAGTAGCAGCCAATCAGCTTTCACTTTACTAAGAGATGAATTCTGATTTGTTATGTGTTGCCGCACTTTGCAGATTGCTTCCCCTCTGAACAAGGTAGTGTGTGCGTTCATTGATACTTTGTGTATGTCAGTAGGGGCGTAAGAACTTTAGGGGCCATTCAGCACAACTAGTAAAATCAGTTGATGAAGGGGGCAGGTGCTGTCCAGAAGGCATTTAACCTGTGCATTTGGAACCATTGACTCCAGAATCAACCGTGGCCGTCCAACTCGCCAAGGAACAGAAGCGCGCTAACGAAATGAAGTTTCTGATCCTACGTGAACCCAGGCTACACAAAACAAGCCAAACCTGGGTCATTAAGAGGGGGGGGTTAAAGTGGCCATTGTCACCAAACTCTTTTCAGAGGTTCTCATTTCAGCATGAAAAACAGTCCTTGGATTATGATAAATGGCGAGGTCTGACACACACATTCCCGTCTCCTAATCCCGAGGCTGTGAGCTGAGGCAGCAGAATGGCCCGTTGGATGTGATGGAGACCCTTTTTACAACCTGTCTCTCTTTTTCCCATTGACCTTCACAGGATATGATTAATGGCAGTGCAATAGTTGCTTGTCATCTGTTAGATGCTACAAAACTCGCTATGGTCATCCCATCTGCTATGCTGTGCTGTAGCTCGCTGTTTCTTCCCACCCACCCCCATCTCTAAGAGAAAGAGTCTTTATTCCTGAATATTGCTTCTTTACATGCGGATTTCATGCCGTTCCCCCCATAAAAAATACAATAAATGGAGATCCCCAGCACTGTTCTCATTTGCGTGGTTAATTGAAGCAAGCGGCTTTGCTTTTGTGCAGCTGTAGTATGTCTTATGGATTTCTCAGTATAGAAGTCAAACAGATGGGCATAAAATGCTCATGAAAAAGTCATTAGGGACATGTAAGAAAACTGGTGCATAGCTAAGAGCGCCAAAATGAAGACTACTGCAGTAGAAGCTGTCCCGGGCCTTAGAGGGAGACTTATTTGTAGAATGTTAACCATATGGATTCCATCACATGAAGGGTTGTGCATCAAATACTTTAGAGCAGCGTTTCCCAACCTTTTTTAGTCATGGCACCCTTTAAAAGTATACAAAAATATCAAGACTCTCTGGTCCCAAATGTACGAAATTAGGTGTAGCACCCTCTCAAAATCCATACCAGACCATTATCCTAGATATAAGCCTTGTATGGAATAAATGGGGGGATGCCACACAATGTTCCCCCTTCACATTGGAAGCTCCTCATAACATTAAAACTCCGCTTTCTTTGTATCAGGGTCCCCTCTTTCTCATCAGAGTCCCCCCTTTCCCAATAGCGTGCTTCCCTTTTGCATCAGCCTCCCCTGCTGTTACATCAGAGTCCCCTTTCCCCATTAGAGCACTTCCCTTTTGCATCAGAACACCCCCTTTCTTTTGCATCAGAGTACCACATTAGGTAACCCTCACTGAGCAATGACAAGCAGCTGTTGCCAGAACTCATGCATATAGATAGGACGCGGCTACACAGAGTAGATTACCAGCACTGAAAATGCATGAAAAAGGTTTTAAAAAATTGTAATTTCTTAAAGAAAAAAACATGGCGGTGCTTCAGCAAACGAATGTAGTCTGGTTAAGGGTTAGACCTATTGTAAGGCCTGCTCTCAGTTGTAGATGCATGGTGGCTCAAGAGATGATTTTGGTTTAAACCCCTTGAAATGTTCAAGGTAAAACTGGACAGCCTGCCCTCCTCGGCAGGGGTTGTGCCCTTGAAAACCCCCCTGATTAGGAATTTAAACAGCACAAGTATGGATCTTTTTCTTTAGCCTTTTTTAGTGCAGTGATGCAAAAACAGAACCCCTCCTCAGACATCCCTTGAGAAGGAGATGGTTTCTTATACACTACAATAAAAGCAGCCAAGTGATCGCTTTGAAGCTGCCTGACCGTGATGTTAAAACAGCTAATTGCCAGATGATCCAAATGCGGAGAGCCCTGCCGAACAGCAGCAGTTTGGAATCATGGGCTCTGCTCTCTCTCGCCCTCCCTCTCTCTCTCTCGCCCTCCCTCTCTCTCTCTCGCCCTCCCTCTCTCTCTCTCGCCCTCTTCTCTCTCGCCCCTCTCTCTCTCCATCTGGCCCCCCAACCCTCTCTCCCCCCCCTCCCCAGTATTAAACCCATATAGTTACCAGAACACAGTTTTTGTCATTGTAATGGTCCTTTTAAACTTGGTTTTAAATTATTTAATTTGCCATAAATAATATTATTATGATGGTTTTATTTTCAGTGGATTGCTTAGACCCCACATGTTCCGGACGAGGAGTCTGCGTACAAGGAGTGTGCCATTGTGCTGTTGGCTGGGGTGGAACAAGCTGTGAGAACCCGCGAGCCACTTGCCTTGACCAGTGTTCTGGACATGGGACGTACCATTCTGAGACTGGTGTGTGCACGTGTGACCCCAACTGGACTGGCCATGACTGCTCCATAGGTAAGAGTCAATGTTGGTCTTGTGCTTGAAAAGTATTGTTTTTAAGCAGTATTTGGGGACAACAGTGAACTTGCACACAAGAATGAAAGATCTACTTCCTCCCTATAGTTCAACTATACATCAAATATGAAAAAAGTGCTCTAAAATTTTACCAGTTCCACAGTATCACTAGACTATAGCAACATTGGTCCTTTTTAGTGTCACCTGTTTCTAGTAGGTGACCCATCACTTTGGATAGCTTTAGCAGATCTCTGCAGTAGTGAACCAGTCACGCCTTGAAACAACGTATTATGTTTTGCACTTACCATTACCTTTACTAGCAGTGCACATATGCTATGCAAACTAAAAAGACTGCAAACAGGGAACATACTGCACTCAAAAACTCCATATAGCTAATATCAAACCAATAAACATCACTAAACCACCACGAACGACCGCCAGCAACCCCTAAAGTGAAAATCGGAATTGGGCTTAATTCATTGGGCTGCCCTTTTTATACTGTACATTCCGGTTATTGTGATTAAATGTCCACTATTCCACAAATGAAGAGCTCAATTTCATTGGACCTTCCAGAACACTTCTAATACACTGCCTTGCCCCCCAAAAAAAGTCCCACACTGTAATATTTATTTGAACTGCCTTTAGCTTTGATTACGGCCCACATTCGCCATGGTATAATTTCGATAAGCTTATGCAATGTCACAACATTTATTTCCTTCCAGAGTTGCATTCATTTTTCAACAACAGGTAGTGATGATGGGAGAGTGGGACCTCTGTGTAAAGTCTTCTCCAGCACATCCCAAAAATTCTCAATGGGGTTAAGGTCTGGACTCTGTGGTGGCCAATCCATGTGACAATGATGTCTCATGCTCCCTGAACCACTCTTTCACAATCTGAGCCCGATGAATCCCGGCATTATCATCCTGGAATATGCCCAATGTGCCATCAGGGAAGGAAAAATCCATTGATGGGAAAACTTTGTTATTCAGTATATTCAGGTCGGCAGCTGACCTCATTTTTTTGGCACATAATGTTGCTGAACCTAGACCTGGCCAACTGAAGCAACCCCAGATCATAACACTTATCCAATAGAAGGCACTTACCCATCTGCTTAGCTAAATCCAGGGGGTGACTTTTCTTTTGGTCAGGCAGTATATATATATATATAACTTAGTAACATCTCATGGAGATATTGAGTCCAAACAGTTCCCCAACACATTAGATACTTCTTGCAGTGATTATACTCATGATCCCGCCTTAGACACGGTATACTATGCCATTGATTAGCTGCCGGTGGAATAACTGCCAGTGCTTAAGAGCATCAAAGTGTCCTGTGTAGCTTCCACATGTAGATATAAAGTCCATGTGTCACCAGCAGAATCAGTCTAACCATGCCTCATAACTCAAACCCTGCTCTCCACTAGTCATGTAATTGAATGCCTTCATTCCTAACTACTGCACAGTTTAAGCCAGGATGGTATACATGTCTATGTAGTTTGCATGCAGTTGAAAGAAAAGGGGCCAATCAGTTGTGCTGCAGTCCTCCCGTGTCTAACAAGGAACATGCTGATTGGAGGAGAGAGTGACAGAAAGATGAGGTCATCAGTGCGCCACCTCTCCTTTCACTGTCCTCTCCAAGGCAATGCTGCGGGGCTGGGTTATGTGTATCTCAGGACTGGATGGACAGACAAACACATCTTTTGGCATGTAAAATGGCTCCCTTACATGTATGTCTTCTGTGTACTTAGCGGCTTGCCTGGAGTTCGGCTTTAAACCTTGTCACGGATCATCATTAGCATCCTGACAGCTGCCTGGCTCGCTGACCCAGAAGCCGCAGCTTGCCTTACACTCATCTAAGCAGACTCCTTCCAGTTGACTAATCAGATTTTAAATATGATACAGCCTTTTATATAATCATTGATGGATCAGCTCCAACCGCTAGCAGCAACAGTGTGCTGGCATTCCTGCCGAGCGTCTAACGTATCTTTCCAGACATTGTCATATCTCATTGATCAAACAACATTTGTGATGAGGCCGGGCTCCCCCCCCTGGGGCCTCAGAGGTCTCCAAACTTTGTAAATGAATTCTCATGTTAAATTCATGCCACGCCGAAGGCCACACACACACACAGTGTGCACACACGAGGGTTCGGCGGGTGAAGTTCACACTTCTTCTTGCTCTAAGGCTTTCATTTCAGGGGCGCGAAGAGCTCTCGAGGAGACCTGTGCGTCCACAGAGAAGAGCGTGTATCGGTATTCTAGCAGAATACAATTAGCTGGTAACCCCATTCTGTAAGGTCATAAGCCTGTCTTGTCTCACAATTCTCGAGGAGAGAGGCGAAAATGGAGATTAACACCTCTGTCTGGGTATGGTTTACATGACTTAAAAGTGTCAGTCTAAAAAGCTTCTTTATGCCTTGTAGATCCCTAGAAGGGTGAAGGGACTGCAACTCTGCCCGTTTTGGCCTAGATGCAGGAAGAAATAATTGTAGATGTCACGACATCATCGTGCTATTCTCTGTGCTAGTCACACAGGGCCTCATGAGTGGGAAGCTGTGAATAAGTAACTTCAGCTAGAATGGCCAGATGCAGAGATAACAGTTTTCACTCATTGGGAGAGACACTCATACTCTGCAACCAAATCCATCTGTTCCTCTATTTTGTCTACTGTATAGACCTCTGTAGATACATTTGTAGGCCAAATTTGTGGACACTTGACCCTCCTATTGAACAACTATGGGCATTAATATGGAGTGGGTGTCCCTATGAATTTGGGCCCATTCGACCAAAAGAGCATTTGTGATGTCACGATGCTGATGGTGGAGAAGAAGACTTGGCTCACAAGTGGCATTTCAATTAATCCCAAAGGTGTCCTGTTGGGTTGACATCCGGGCTCTGTGCAGGACACTCTAGTTCCTTCACACCACATGTGTCAAACTCAAGTCCCAGGGGCAGAATCCAGCCCACCAGGCCATTTCCTAGACTTCTACTTTCAGGTGTAGGTATTAAGTTATTACTAAAACCAGTGATAATCGAATGCAGAGGCAATTATGATAAACATTAGATACGTTTATATAATCTTACAGGCCCTTTGAGGGCAACCATAATGTTGATGCGGCCCAGGATTCAATCGAGTTTGACACCCCTGCTCCACACCAAACCACTATCTATGGAGCTGGCTTTGTCATTCCTCGAACAGGAAATGGCCTTCCCCAAACCGTTGCAACAATGTTCCTCAGTGTGATATAAATGGACATGCGTCGGGTGCACATACGTGCGAAAGCGACGATTGCGCCCATTACGCCGCACATGTTGCATATCACTGCGAACGTCGGAATGAGAGCAATAATTCTATGGCCATCGATCACTGTTGACACTAAACTGATGAGTGGTAAAAGCTTTTAAAGTGTCACCTATGGCCAATTTTGGGTATGGTTGTTTTTTTTGCAATTTCCCGGGTGCGCGCAAATGTAAGGCTTGACATGTTTGGTGTCTATTTACCCGACGTGACCCGATCTTTTATATTTTACCAAAAAATTGGGTAATGATAAATGTATTATAACAGAATGTAAACAAAAATTTTTTGTCAATATATTCAGTAATTTTTCCTTAATATAGTAAAAAATAAAACCCCCAGTGATGATTAAATACCACCAAAAGAAAGCTCTATCTGTCCCCAGAAATGGAAAACGAAAGGGAACAGAGCACCACCTCTGTGTGTAAAATGGTTTATTACAATAAATAAAACAATGGAAAAAAGTACTCACAAACAAACGTTTTCATCAGGCTTTAACAACAAACGAGAGGCCACACTGTCTGTTAACCCAACATGGTATCCCCCCGACTATGTAACACGGTAGCCTCCGGTCACATCACCGTCCACCCACCGCAGTCAGCCAAGATTGACGCGTTTCAGGGGCAAGCCCCCTTCATCAGAATCATTCTGATGAAGGCGGCTTGCCCCTGAAACGCATCAATCTTGGCTGACTGTGGTTGGTGGGCGATGATGTTACCTTTTATCCCTTGTTTTATTTATCATAATAAACGATTTCACACACGGAGGTGGCGCTCTGTTCCCTTTTGTTTACTATGTTTGTGGTGGAAGCCCCAGAGCCTTGGATGAGCACCGCCTCAAGTCTGTGTGAAAAACTGTTGAAAACTTTGAGTGTGCAACAGCAAGTGGATTGTTCAGCTGGCAGCCATTAGCGCCAAGAGCTAAAGAAAACTTTTGTCTGATGTCCCCAAAAATGGTATAAAATTGATTTCAGTACAGTGTTGCATGACGGAATACATGTCAGTCAAAGTACCGCAGCGCTGAAAAATGGCCGGGCCAGGAAGGGGGTGTAAACACTGCGGTCAGCAAGTGGTTAATGAAGGTCATGAAACAGATTTTACGATAAGTAAGAATTCTGCTATTCCTCATTCATTCTGTGAATCAGGAATAACAGGATTTGTGACATTTGTGGCAGTCTTTGACCTCCTTGACCAAATGAAACCCTTCAACAAATCTATTCTACGTCCCATTCTCACTGTATGTTTTGTAAGCCATTATTGGAAAATGAGTGCGCAAAGCCTGATTAGTTGTAATGGACAAGAACTCTGCTTCCTTTGGGTGCTCTTCCTAATTGGAGTACTCTTCATAAGGCCCTCTGATTTTACTGTTCCATATTGACAATGCCACAATAACAGTCTATTCTCCAACAGTTAATTCACATACACAGAACAATAACAGATGGTCGCTGACATTAGCTTACAGGGCAGGAGTTGTGGGAGGAATATAAAGACTTCTAATGCCCACACAATGAAAACCTACATCTGTCTCTGAGCTCCCCTCCGCTAAAAGGAGAAGAACATTCACATGCTTTTATGGAACAAAGCATAATTGCACAGAATTGTTTGGAAAAATACACTTCCTAGTGATGGCAGGAACATAATGGCACGGTATTAAGTGAATCATCGCTTGCCAGAAACGAACATCACCTGAATGTACCGTGGAGCTGC